AAGTAGTCTGTCCAACTGTCAGTCAATAGAGACAAACCTACAATAAAGCAGAGTGTCTTTGTATTAAAGGTAAGAAACAGTCATATTTGTCTTCACTTGCAGTTGAAGTGTAAGGAAAAATGCCTTGATGTTGTTCCTAAAATGTTGGAAAAGGTGAATATATATATATATATATTTTTTTTTACTGGTGTCTAAACACTAAACTACTGAAACTATCCAAGTCTCCTTGACACTTTTCTCACTACCTTAAATAGATTTCCAAAATCGCACTCAAATAAAACTAACTCTGGAAAAAAAAAAGCGTGAAGCGTAGAGCTTACAATCAACAAATAAAGAAACCTCAAAAGCTCAGTGGTTCCTGCCTGATCTCATAGTTTTTCACATTTATTTACTTTTCCCTTTTACAGATGTATAAATCAATGGATTAGTGTAGGTCATTTGAAAATAGAGCTTGGTGATGATACTTCAGTCCTCCTGAAATCTACTTGGTGATGGATTAGGAACAAAAGGGTATGAAATTATTTCTTGGTGCTTCCTTAGCCTTGCTTTCAGCTCCAGCTTGGTACTTCAGTTTGCTTCCAGCTTTTTTCTACCCAAAGTAAAATGTTTCCTTGCTGACTGTTGCCTCTATTTCTGTCAAGTGGGGTTAGGAACCAGTGTTGAAAAGACAATATATTGCTCTCTACCTCCTGGGAATTTCTTTCTACGATGAGCCACCCTTAAAGGCCAGCTGTGCCCAACCACACAGCTGTTTCACACAAACAGAGTAGCTTAAAGCTGCTCATGTCAAGGCCAAAAATCAGATCCTGTAAATTTATGAAAAGGGATGCTATGGTTGACTCTGCAAACCTATTCTATATAAACAAGATTATAGATAATATAATAAAATTCAATTATTTGTAGAGGACAATAAGGTTTACATCTAGGTATCTAACGCCACATTTAATCTTTTATGTTTGTGTTTGAGTGAACCAGCGCAGTGACCAGCCTAACCTCCAGCAGGAAATGATACATTCCATTATTCCTTAGAGTACAATAAAGCCCTTTATTTATGGCAAGTATTAATTTTGCGGTCACGGTGACAGAATTCAAATCTTAGTAGTGCATCAAGGCATTCCTTCCCCCCCCTTGTAACGGTTATCCCTGAAATTGTCTCATTCTTCTGTTGTCAGTCCTGAACATGTGGTGTATCGGTCAGAGTTAGGAAGAAGGCTCTCAACCACAGAGATTCTCCCTCCAGCCAGATGTAACAGAAGAGACACAAAGTTCATGAGAAGTTTGCTTTGCTTACGAAGCTCTAGTGAGTTAAAGCCAATTCCAACCTGCTGATTTCACATGATTGTGGTTGACACTAGAGTATTGTAAACATATCCAATTATTATATGGATGTACAGATCACTTTTATGAGAAACGCTCACCTGCATGCATTTAGTGTATTGTCATTTTCCTTCTGGAGTGCAGGTGTTGAATTGTTCAAGAAACTGATATTCTCTTGAGAGAAATTTTCAAATATTGTCCATGAAATTCTGCATGTTGAGCATGCACAGGTCAGGTGGGCAATTAGGTAATCAGAATACTACATGATTTTTGTGGTTGAATGTAGGCTGCACACTGAGCGAGAGTAATTGGAGAACTGAAGGCAGAGATAGCTGTAGGTTGTGTGGTTACAGCAAACTGGTCTTTTATTTCTCAGATGTTTTAGACAAGTGTTTGTCTGGATTGATACACTTTTCCTATAAAGTGTGAAATAGAAGAGCACAAGGAATTATTGGTGACAGTTCAGGATAGCTAATATTAGAAATGAAATTTTTAATAAAAAAGTCACTGTTAAGACTACAAGAGACAGAAAGCACATGCATTTTAACAGACACAAACATTTATAGAATCCTTCGTTTTTATTGATTTCTATGTGAATTTTATAAGACTCCTTTTAGTCTTGAAGAAAATGGAGGATCAACTGTCCTAAATTATGAGAAGTGGAAAGAAATTCATAACTCTTTCTGTGAATATTTCTGTTTGAGCTGCCATGGAAGAGAGCTCAGTTTTTCTTTTATGTTGCATGGATTTGTAATCTACTAAAAGGAAAAAAAAATGAGGGCATCAAACTCACTTTCTCGTGTGATTTGTCAGATAAAACTGAGCCTGATTCATTATGATTTATAAAGAAATGCTCCTGTATGTGTGCATGTGTTTGTGTATTTATATACTGATACAGTTTAACAAATGTTTGCCCTCTTGGTAATAATTGCAAATAATTATTTGTGAAAAAAGATCTCATGCAGGCACCTAAAATTGTTAGTCCCCTCTGAAAACACTGCTCTTCTGTTCCCACTTCTACCTCTGAATTCCCACTAAGCCTTCTCCCCTCCCCAGCGCCACGTAGGAACAGACATGTCAGCATTCAGGAAGATACAGTTCTTTCTAATTGCCAATGCTGAATAAATTCACATTCACTTATATCTGTGAAAAACTGACAGATTGTGCTTCTACATTTGAGCTTGGACAGTCTCTTGTATCTCCAGTTTTGTTTTGTTTTCAAGCTGGAAGAAGTCTGAATCCTTTCCATTTCTCAAACTGGGAAATAGCCTGTTTTCCTTGGGGGGAAAAACTTGTAAGGGAATACAAAATGCTCTTGCAAGTCCAAATAGTCTTACCATGCGCATCAAGTATTTTGCCCTGGTACACGACAATATTTTGAAGTAGAAATACAGTTAATCTTTTGTAAACAGCTTTTCTTTGCACAGTGATAACTTTAGATACTTGCACAAAAAGACAAGTCATCATGAAACTATAAAAAAAGGGAAATTTCTTACTGCTTGTCAAGCACTGCAGTAATTTTGAAGGGAGTGAACATCACTAAAAGAAAAATCTTTGTGCTTCATCTCTTAGATCTATGAAGTGAGCATAGGTATGGCAATGAATGCTAGTTTACTGGGTTTGAATTAGCAAAATCCAAACTTAGCTTGACAACATTAATAAAATACTTTAACCTCTAAACAATAGTTGTTTGTTGCTGTCATTATTTCAACGCACCTGCAATATTTAGCAGTTGTACAAGTGCTAAAGTCTTCTGGCAGTTTCCAGAAATGCCTGCATAACAATAAACCACTTCCTTTCCTCAGTGACTCAGGGTTTTAGACAGTAAGCAAGTCTAGCAGGTATTTGACAATCTGGTAAAACTGCTGTAGGCTTGTCTAAGCCCCCAGCAAAACCCTTATGAGCATCTTCCGTGATGGTGGGGTTGGCTGGGGTGATCAGTGTATCAGCTAAAGCCCAGTTAAAGAGGTAGGAAAGAGTCTGCTGTGGCTGGCACATCCCTGGCTTAATTTCTGTTCCTTTCTGGGGTTTCTCTGTAATTCACCTGTTTTCTGAAGCTGAATTAATCATATTAATGAGCATTTCCATGTTTGGATAGAAACACGAAGCTGCTCAAGGTAACTCCCAGTGCTTTTCTTTTGAACCTAATGTTTGCTACTTACCTTGCTGAACCTCATATAATGCACTTGTACATGAGCTAAATTTTTTAACTGTTGTATTCTCACAAGGTGTTGCTTGTATCAGGTTTCATGCAATGTTTTTAGGGGGAGAAAAATGAATTTTGCGTGTATATTCTACAGCCACGCAACACCAAGATTTGTGGTGGTCGAAGAGCCCACCCAGGTGGGGTGGCGAGAAATGCTACTGACTTGAATCAAGCTGGTTTTCAGCCTTCTGGCTTTAGCAGTGTCTGTGGTACTGATATCTAGAATTTCATCAGAAGTTGGTTGCTTCCAAGATTTGAAAAAACCTGCTGTCTGTTACAGTCTAGTTTACAGAGATCATTAGAGTTACAGTAAACTTTTCAGAAGAGCAGGTTTTATGGTGGAAGAAATAAATGTGCTCTAACTTACACCATTTGGCTTCACATATGAGCTGAGATTTGATGATAAAAGTGTGATAAATTGTGAGAGAAGAGGGTTAAATACTTTCTTACTCAAGACAAGTTATAAGTGTTTCAGATAGAATTAAGGACTCCTAATGACATGGTACAGCTGTAATCAGGTCACTGTTAATTTTGAGAGCAACCTGGTTCAATATAAGCTTTGACCTTTTTCTTGCTCTGAATTTCACTACAAACTAAAAACTCAGATGTTTATTATAGAAAAATGCTGAAAGTCATGAAGAGAGACTACAGTTTGAACCAGCAGATTCATCATGAAATTAATATAAAACGTGTGCTCCTCCATGTTAATGTCCTAACAAATGCGGTTAGGGAGATAAATTTTTTTCGATCAGCCTGAAGCTGAGGGACAGAGCTCAAAGGAACAGGTTTTGAAGGGGCTTGTTTGCATGATTTCCCTAACTGAAAGTCAATTTTTTTAACTCTATAATATATTCTAATAATTTGGGGCTTTGTGTACTAGTTCATAGGCTTGCAGGTCAATGGTAAACCTCTGGTTAGGTAGGGTATTTATAGGAGAGGAAGTGGGGAAAAAATAATGGGGTCGAAGGAGGGCTGTCTGCATTCTGGATGTTGTAATTTTTCTCTTGGAAAAAGCAGGCATGATCCTGTGTAAGACAGGTTGTGGTAGCAGGAGTGAAGTTTGGTGGCAAGTGATTTATGCCGCTGCTTATTCATCTGTTCCTGCATTTCTGCATTTGAACTATGATATTGTTGGGGTGGGACTGTCCTTCTGTTTGTGCCGTGTTAAGCCTTGTGGCCTTGAGCTTCTGGGGAGGTATCCACCGCCACCCAAATACATAAACTGGCTTTTCCTAAGAGTCGTGCAGAGACTGCTGGGCAAAGATAATTAGTGGAGTTTCCCCATTGGCATTGGCTATGAAAGGGGGCTGTAGAAGATGGCTGTGTGGAATACCCTTCTCCTGACAGCACTGCATGAAAAAAAGTCTTTTTCCATCTAATTAATGATGCTTGCCTAATTGGTGAAGGTTGATGCAGTGGTTTTTTTTTCTTTTTTTTTTTGTTTTCTTTTCCTTCCCCCCGCCCTCCTGTGTTACAGATATACGAGGACTGCAGGGATTTCTCGATCAGGCCTCAAGACTGGGACTTGATGTATCATTACAAAAAGTGGACAGGAACATCAGCAGAGTCTTTGCCAACCTTTTCACTACCATGAAATACTCCTGAGCCCACGGGGAGCCCAGACTTTTATTAATGAGGTCAGTGCACAGCCGTTTTTCTCATCCACATTTCAGGAACATATATCATGATTTATGTGATACCTGGTCACGTTTTCTGAAGTCATAAATGTTGATAATGCTGGTTGGTAAATGTCAAATAATGTTGTCAGACTTTAGTGTTGGAGAATTGAAATATCTAGGTACTCCATGTAATGCATACTTTGTGGTTAATGTAAATGAGACGGCATGGGCCGGATAGGCTCTTTCAGTATAATATATAGCTCTATGGGGCAATTCTTTTTTTTTTTTTTTTGGCTGTCTTCCATACCAATGCTTTTGACCTAGATTTCAACCACTGTTGACAAGTGACCAAAAAATCTACTATAGTCTATTAGAAATGAAACGTAATGTGCCTGAGAGAGTCGTGTCTACTGTGGAAATCTCCAAATTCATGTTAAAAGGGCACATTATTGATATTTGAAAGCTGAATCACAGAATTTTTTATCAAGTATGAAGTAGGAATTATATGTTTGTCTCTTTTTCTTAATGATTTCTTGAAATCAATGGGGCTAATTAGGACAAGGAGGTAGCTGTTGGGCAAACATGTAATTAATGTTGTGCTGTGGGCTAATTTTTGGCATTAAATAGTTATATCCGGCTCTTTTAATATTAAATAAGGAATTATTTTACAGTGCCTTATATGTCAGAGCTGAGAATGAGAGTTGGACCCTCAGCACAAGTTTGTGTGTATTCATTAGCTAAGAATTTGGCAATGAAGCATGTATAGGGGTTGTTCTTTTTTTTTAACTATCCGGGAATAAGACTGAATCAAGAAATTAAAATGTGAATGAGACCTGTTTCCAATTATCAGTTTCACTGCGTCAAAACCTGCTAAATTAAAAAAAAAAAAAAATCGGCCTCATTAGGTTTTTTTGGTCATATCAGCATAAGCAAATTCTCCACGTTTATGTTCATTGATGCTTTTTAAATTAGTAGGGTAAATTTTATCGTAAATAAATGAGACAAATGGGTAGGTTGGAAATACTATGCACAGGGACAAATTCTACTCATGTTTGTGTGTACACTGGGATTTTCACTGTAGGATGTTTCAATGAGGGAGTCCTTGCCCTCAAAGCGTGGTAAGCTGCACGCAGCTCAGTCGGTAGTTTCATTTGCTTTGCAGTAGGCCTCCAGCAAAAATGCGTGTTGCTTTGTTTTCCAGTCAGTCCTAACAAAGTATCCAAACCAGGTATTAAAAAGAAATCGACGTGTGTGTTTTATTCAGACCCACGCTGGTAGAAATCTTGTCCCCCCTCCAGTGCACGAGGCTTCAGAAATGTTCGTTAAGAGTTACGTGCATGCACAGTCAGGACCCTGCAGGTCTCTTGAGTATAGGGGCTGATGTATTAAACTATTTTACTACTCACTCCACCTTAAAACAGTGTGTATTATACGCATTAAGGCTAATGATCTTGATGTATTTCCAGATCCCTTCAGGAGTTTAACTATGGGCAGAAATGAAAAGTAATTTATTTGGCAATCTTCCTATATTGAATCTTGATTGATTCAGAAAAGCTTTATAAAAGAAAATTTAAATGTTAGAAAGGAACTCTCCACAGGCTTGAGATATGAGGTGCGGGGAAGAACGCTTTGCTAGCAGAGACTGGGCCGTTTCATGGAGAGTTATGGTAACTGTGATTCCTCAATATCTCAGCCAATAAGCGCAACTGATTATCTGCAGCACAATTTCAGACAGCCTAGAATAAGAACTTTCAGCTTAAATGAAATACATATTCTTACAGAATTTACAGAAATACATCACTTGCAACGTGCAGCAGTAACTGCCTTCAGTTAGTTTACATATTTCCACAGTTAGTAAATATTTCATACTACATAGCTATATACTGACTATTATTGTTACCAGTCTGGCTCTGCATCTTGTAAATTGTTTGAGGTTTTGAAACAGTTTCCCTTTTCAATTTTGGGAAAAAAATCTAAGTCTCTAAACAAATTGTAATAGTAACCTGAGAAGAAAATTCAAAATACTTTATTTTTAAATTTGGGATATATTTATTTTCATATTTTCTATTTTAGAATCATAGAGTCATAGAAGCATTAAGGTTGGAAAAGACCTGTAAGATCATCAGGTCCAACCAACAACCCAACACCACCATGCATACTAAACCATGTCCTGAAGTGCCGCAGCTACACATTTTTTGAACACTTCCAGGGATGGTGACGCCACCACTTCCCTGGGCAGCCGGTTCCAATGCCTGACCACTCTTTCAGTCAACAACTTCCTGGGCAGCCGGTTCCAATGCCTGACCACTCTTTCAGTCAAGAAATTTTTTCAAATCTCCAAGCTAACCCTCCCCTGACGCAACCTGAGGCCATTGCCTCTTGTCCTATCGCTAGTTACCTGGGAGAAGAGACCAACACCTGCCTCACTACAACCTCCTTTAAGGTAGTTGTAGAGCGCCGTAAGGTCTCCCCTTCAGCCTCTTGTCCTCCAGACTAAGCAACCCCAGTTCCCTCAAGCGTTCCTCCTAACACTTGTTCTCTAGACCCTTCACCAGCCTCGTTGCCCTTCTCTGGGCACCTCAATGTCCTTCTTGTAGTGAGGGGCCCAAAACTTCATGCAGTATTCGAGGTGTGGCCTCACCAGTGCTGAGTGCAGTGGCACAATCCCTTCCCTACTCCTGCTGGCCACCCTAGTCCTGATACAAGCACAAGTTACAAATAAGAACTTAAGAACAAAGAAAAGAACTTGGATTTAAACCTTTGTTTCTATAAACTCCTGGAATTGGAAAATTCCATGTGAAAAAGAGGTTCCTTACTAAGATTTTCAGTTTTGCTGAGTTATATTCTATAGCAGGGAAAAAACATCTGAAAAACTGCAACTAGCTCTTATTAAAGTCTATTGGCTAATAACATAGCTTCATAAAAATCAGGTGTTGCACACAAACACTCCTGTGGAATGCAGGACAAAAATAAAAGACTTTCTTGGACAGTGTCTGGATTATGAACCCTTATACGAGTGGTTCTTACAAAATTTTTCTTAGCACGAGTCATAGACGTCAGCCATTGGAAGCTGGTACAAGATTTATTTTTCTTGTGTCAATATTGCAAGGGATACTTTCTTTTTTTTGCTAAAAATATGGATTCAGACTTCAGCCTCTCTTATCTCTTGAGTGGGGCAGAAACATCTCATCTGACTTTGGATGCACAGAGTTAGGGAACTGACATCTCATATGTGAAAAACTTTCTAAATACTAGAATTCAATTTTAGGATTATTTCTTTAATTTTTGTTTAGGCATCATTTTCACTTTACTGGCTCAATGCCTGGTTCTGTCAGGTGTCAAACTTACTGCAGCAGAAATTACTGACATTTTCATAAGTTTTCAAGGTTTATTATTATGCTGTAAAACTGCTTTGACTGTAAGAATAGAAAGCAAGAGGGGGAAAAAAAGTCTTTTAAATGGTATAGATATAAACATGGAATCAACCTTTATTCAGAAAACAGAAGGTAACTGCACTTATAAAGTATTAGCTACCCTAGGTTTTGCATTTAAAGGTCACTTTGGGATTAGAGCCAACCTAATCCAAAGAAAATATGTCCCTTCGTAATAATTTTCAGAAAAACGTTCCCTTCTCCACCTGCAAAAATCCATGATACATTTGGCCTGGTACTATTGTTCAGTTTATATGCAAAACCGGTCTCAATTGTAACAGGTACACATGTAACAGCAAAAATTATTTTATCTTTTGAAGGCTATGTGAACTCCTTGCAAGGCAATATATAGAAAGAAAAAAAGAACAATTAGTAATACAGAAATGAGAAGGAGATTTGTTACTTTCAGCTGTTCTGTTTACTCTGTTTGGCCCAGACACAGGTTCTGAGACTCAAAAAACTGCTTCTTTGCCACAGCCAGATTTCATCTGCCTCTTTTATTTACCAATGGATACTTTTTTTTTTTATTGCAAGTAGAGGTATATTTGTGTGGATTGCTTTTATCATTAAGGGCTCTACATAGTGACATGAATATGTGGAAGACAGTTCAAAGAGAGGTGACAAAAATGGTAAAAGGATAGGAGATCATGACCTATGAAGACACGTCTCAGGAACGCATTATATACAGCCTGCCTAAAGGAATATAACTGACAAATACTTAAGAAGAAACATGAGAGGAGGACAAGGAACTATTGAAGGTGATGATGGGTGGTCTAACAGGAAGTAATGACCTGAAGCTAAACAGGGAACGCTTTCTTACAGAGAGGTCCGTTCGACAATGTGAGCGCTTGGTAAGAGAGGTCAGCAAGGCATCGTTCTTCAGGGTGTTCAGGAGTTCACTAGATAAAACACTTGGGCAACTCAGTCTAGCAATCTTTACTGAACTAGTTTGAAGGATGTTCTGGATGACCCAGGGGTCCGGATGTTCCGGATGACCCCGGGGTCCTTCTGAAGACATATCAGGAAGTATTTGTTGTGTGGATAAATTCAGTCTTTGTACATTTTGTATACAATGTATCTGAAGAGAAGGAAGTGGTTTTGTAGCTTAGTGTTTCTCAAGTTTTCTGTTATAGATACAGAGTAACTGTTAGCGTTGGATGGTCTGGTTTTCTTCTTCTTCAACAGAACACATATGGTTTGTTTGGGATATGTATTTTAATGAGATTTTTCTTTAAAACCATGGGTGATATCATTTGCTTTATAGACTTCAATCATCCTACTTTCCAGTATTACTACTTTTACTTTTGTAAATTGGTAAAATGGAGGCTGGAACAGAGTTGCATATGGTTATTGGTTTGACAAGAGAAGGAACTCTTGGCTATACAAAGCCTTTAACTCAGCATGGGTTGTTTTTCGGCAGCTTCACTGAAGTGCAAAATATTTCTGTTTAGGTGCATCTTTGAAAATGATGTCATTACTTGTGAGCCTGTCTTACTGTCAGCTAGTAAGCTTACTGCAATCATGTTGCTAGTATATATGCATATCACTGCAGCATGCCAGCTGAAAGCAGAACTCTTTGCATATTAT